AACAAGAGATTTTCCTAGTGCAATTAATCTTTTGATTTCCTGACTGCTGACGCCAAGAGTGTTGATTATGGAACTGAGCAAGCTGAAATTGTTAACAATCTCAATCTCTTCTCCATCTATCATGGTGATGTCAACTGGCCCCATTTGGGAATCTTTGTCTTCTTGACTTTGAATTTCAATTCATATTGCAAACTACAGTTCCTGACCCTCTGCAGCAAATGCTTCAGACTCTCCTAAGTTTCAACAAGTACAGTGTGTCACCTGCATAGTACAGGCTGTTTATAAGACTTCCTTCCACCCTGCCGCCACATTCCTCCTCATAAAGTCCAACTTCTTGAATGATCTGTTCCATATAGATTGAAAAGGTATGGAAACAGGACACATCCCTGAGACCTCTTTTTCAGATTTTGAACCATACAGTGTTTCCTTGCCCTCATGACTAATAATAATCATTTACTATGGACTGAGGCTCAATGTCAAGAAGACAAAGATTCTCACCACTGGACCAATTGGCAGCATCAGGATGGATGGCGAAGAGATTGAGATAGTTCACAGCTTCCGTTTGCTCGGCTCCACAGTCAACACTCTGGCACCAGCAGTCAGGAAATCAAAAACCATATCGCGATGGGAAACTCTGCTGTTAGGGACCTCTCTAAAGTACTCAGGAGCAACAGTCTCTCTCTGGAGACTAAGGTGCGCCTGATACAGGCCATAGTATTTGCAATCGCTTGTTATGCATCAGAGAGTTGGACAATGACTAGGGAGGACAGAAGGAGAGTTGATGCTTTTGAGCTGTGGTGCTGGAGAAGAGTACTGAATGTACCATGGACTGCCAGGAAAACAAACAGATTCATCTTAGAGAGGATTAAACCAAGCAACTCCTTGGAGGCAAGGATTCTGGGGCTTCGTCTGACATACTTTAGACATGTTGCCAGGAGGGACAGGTCCTTGGAGAAGGACATCATGCTTGGGAGGGTGAAGGGACGGCACAAGAGGGGAAGACCCTCTATGAGATGGATTCATTCAGTGACTGGGGTAATCGGGATGGGTGTGTCAGAGGCAGTGCTGTTGGCGCAGGATAGAGCAGGGTTTAGGGCTGTTGTGCATAGGGTCGCTATGAGTTGCAAACGACTCGACGGCACATAACAACAACAACAAAAGCAAACATTAATTTACAAATGGATCTATAGGCAGATAGGCAAGACAGATAGGTAAGAGGGACCACACCCACTCCAGATGATATTTCATATTCTTATTTAAATATGCTGTAAATATATCCATAATACAGCAAAGTAAAAAAAGATAAAATAATGCAAACTTCTTAATTATAACCAAATACCCTCAGGTGATGAGTTGCTGTCTTAGGTCTTGAGGACCAAAGACTCTAGAGCCATTGAAGCCAACTGGCACAACATAATCTACAAAGATAATGTGCTACATGCTGCTTCAGTAAATAGCAACTGGGGCCTTAAAAGTTTGTGAATGGCCATCTAACGTGTGACTATTAGTCTCTTCCTGTTTAGAACATAGAAAAGGAAAGAAAAGCAAAGACAACATAGAAACCATTAGTCCCAAGGAACCTCAACATCCATGACTCTAAGATGAGAAGAACTAGATAATGCCTGGCAACCTCTCCAGAGTGCTAAAGAGCAACGGGGTAAGGTGTGTCAGAGATGGGGAGGTTGGCGTGGGAAGGGCAAGATTTAGGCCCATTGTTCATAGGGTCACTGTGAGTCACAGTCAACTTGAAGGCACATAACAATAACAACAACCTCCACCACCACCGCTGACTGCTCTAAAAGACATTACAGAGGGAGGTTCTTTTTTTTTTTTTAGGGAGGTTCTTGACAGAATGAAGAAAAATGTAGAACAAAACTTAATATTTTAAAAATTGCCAGGTCTGTTAATTTGTCCAAGGGTGATGGAACCATCACGATTACGGGCATAAAAGTTGAAAAGTAAAACCAGAAAAATTTACTTCTTAACAATCAATCATACAATATCAAAAGGGTAGCATCTGCATGGGGATAAATTTCAAAAAAGCAAAATGACATAGAATAGAATTACGGACAGGAAATGTAAAATGTGCAGTTTAATGTAAGTATTACAACTAATGTCATAAAACAAAATATGTATGAATGATTGAATGAAAAATACATTAAAAAATAAAGAACTCAAATACATATTCCCAGTAATATTAAGTGGCTTTATTACAAGAAGTACACTAAAAACTCACAAATTGTTTCTATAAAAGAAACTAAATACAGCACATTAATTTTTTTTCTGTAGAGCTAAAAATTTTGGGTTAGATTTCTTCTCTCCTTTTGACTAGTTTTAAAATGTTTAAAATATTATGTGACATTTCTACTTATAAATAACAATTATCTTAAAATTACATTTTAGACTTTCATTCAGGTATTAACTAGTCTAATTAGAGCTCCTTCAACAAGTGCTGGAATACCATCTCCTTTTTAGACCTTCAGTTTAATGAAAAACCATGACCATTCTTTCACCCCAACCTCAACATACACGCATCAATTAACCTTAACAAGTAACCCTCATTCATTTTATATTTTTCCCTCCTAATAAGTGTCTGCTTCCAATAGCTAAGTAATTGATCTAAATATAATTTTATATTTGTCACTATTAAATTTCCTTAAATTAAATAATATGCTCTATGAGACCATGTTCTCTTCTGAGGAGGTGCTCAGTTGACACTAACTATAATATTCATGGCATCACCTTCATTTATATATCCATCTGTTCACCCACCTGAACATTTTTTATGTGACAGAATGTTGCATTTAATGCTACAAGGACTACGAGGAAAAAGAAACATTCCCCATCTACAAGCTTCCTAGGTAACTCACAGATTCTGGGAGGCAAGAAAGTGGCCCCAGGAGATGGCCAAACCATAATCTTCAAAACTTCTGCATATGTAGCATTTCATGGTAAAGGTACTTTGTAGATGTGATTAAAGTTAAGGACTTTGAGATGGACTGATAATTCTGAATAATTCAGGCTGATGTAATATAACTATAGGGATCATTAAAAGACCAACTGTGGTCAGAAAGAGATACGACTATAGAAAAACAGTGAGAGAGATACAATATTAACTAGCTTTGACCAGGGAGGACAAGATCATGATCCAAAGAATATGTGTGCTTTCTACAAAGTAGAAAAGGCAAAGAAGTAGATTCTCTTCCTAGAGTTTCCAGAAAGGAACAGTCCTTGAAAAATCTACATTTTAGCACAGTGAGATGAGTGGCAGATTTATGGCCTACAATTCTTTGAAATAATTTTTTATTTAAGACACCAAGCTTTTTAGAATTTGTTACAGCAGCAATAAAAATCAAACACAGTGCTAAATATTCCTGTAACAGATAAGCAAATGAAAATACTGAAAATCACACATTTTGCAGTAGTAATGTACCATTTAGGTTTGGAGAGAATTCTTTGTTGTCCTTAAACATAGTCTGGTGCTAGGAAGAAAGCAAGAGTTTTCAGTATCTAAAAGGAACTATCTTTTAACCCTTTTCCCCCACGAACTAAACGTAAGAAACACCACAATTATTTAACACCTTATTTACGCTACTCTAATTTGATATGGCCTAACCATGTCTATGGGCTGCAAAAATGGTTTTTACTGAATACCCTAAAAAGTATATAAGTCATCATGTAAAAATATACATTGTTGTATATACATTCAGGTAGGAAGCTTGGTTGGCCTACCGTTAAGAAGCTGCACTGCAATCCCTAAGATATGTGTTTGAATGCACTAGCTGTTTCCGTGGGAGAAGGATGGGCAATTTCATCCTGTGAGATTAACTGCCTCTAAAAACCTGCTGGAGGGTCAGCTAAGGATGAGTTCCGACTTGACAGTACATAACAACAACATGAAGTGACTTAGTATTAATTAGCTTTGAATGGTCTCCAGTGCCTAAATTATCATCATCTATACTACATATTTTACTGTAAGTCTGGGTAAATGAAAGGGAATGAAGTTTGAATTAGAAATAATCATACTAAAATTTTTAAAAGAATAAAAATTTCACCTCCATGGAATTAGTAAATTTACGGAACATGCTGTAATCCCACAGAGTATTTAATATAACTGAGTATTTAATATAAATGGATAGACAACAGTGGACAAAAGAAATAAGTTTCTATCTTCAGGAAGCTTACAATCTATTGGGAAAATTAGACGGTAAACAAAGTCATACCAACTAACATTAGTATTGCTTAATAGAAAGAAAGCATGCTAAATACAAAAAATGGTATGCAAATAAACAGGTGTCTATATGGAACAATTAGAAAAATGCACCAAAATTGGAAATATGCTTACTTTAATAGCTTGTTTGTCTTTTTATATAATCAGCAGAATCCTACACCATGTACATAGCTCAGTTAAAGACCTCACTGCAACACACTGGTGATTTATTAAGAACTTTTTCATATTATATAAAAATACTGAAAATAATAACTGACATTCAAAAAAAAATCACCAATTGACACCTTGATATTTTTTTAATTTACTACTACTATATAAGGGAGCTCTGGTGGCCTAGTGGTAAAAAGCTGTACTTGCAATCTCAAAAGCTGGGCAGTCTCCACCTGTGTGATTAACTGCCTCTAAAAACTTGATGGAGGGTCACCTACGAGTCAGCTGGGACTCAATGGCACACAACAACTGCTATATAAAAAGCTGGGTGATCACTTGGTTAAGCCTGACAGTAAATATCAATTATAGTTATACTGCAGCTTAAGAGTTAGCAGATTTTAGATATACATTAAACTTGAGAATGTATATGATCTATGTTGATTTTATTCCTTTTTTGACAGCATTACTTAATAAAGTATTTCCCACTTGTAATAAATAATATAAATGACTAGATAGGTTTAGGAAATGTCTTTTTTTGCTAAATTAAAAGGAAAATAAATTCTAAACAATGATTTTTACATGATATTTTTAGCATAGTAAGATAACATTTTACACTCACTCTGAAGTGTTTCAAGTTCAGCTCTAGTCAGCGCATCTTCCTTTTCCTTCAATTTCGTTTCTTTATATTTAGCATAAAACTGCCCAGCATCCTTAAGAAAGAGGTTACAAATAAATAAAAATAAAATGACTAGCTTGCTTTCACAGTATTTTCTGAATAACTTGATTTTAATTAAAGCAAAATATCAATTTTACATATAGTCTTTCTTTGTGTTTATGATATACAGTTGTTTAGATACAGAATAAATTTAAAACACTTCTTTCTCCCCGCACAAACCCCTCCCCCCTCCCCCCCCATTTGCTCCTCTCCTTGAAAAGGGTGCAACAATGAATGAATGGAATCCCAAAATCTCTGTAGATGTTCATTGAAATGAAAAATAAACAACCTAAATTTAAAAAAAAAAACAACCACACAAAAAAAAACACTTCTTTCTGATTTTTAAATTAATTTCAGGAAGCTGATTATAGCTAGAAATTGCATAAGTAAACTTTTTCTTCTCTATGATATGAAAGAGAAAGGTACTCTCCTTCTTGGTTTTTTCCCTTTAACTTTTTCCCTTCTAATATCATTAAGAGCTATTTCATGGGGCCAAAACATAAAAACACATAGTTGAAGAGAGTTATTTGGTATAGCAAATGATATTATTGTGGCCAACAAACACCAAATACTCTTTTCATATTAGTCACAAATTGTTAATAAGATTTTCCAAATTGTTATATGCAAATAATAAATTGTCAATTTCTCAAGTGTGTGAATTTTGAACTAAACAGAGAGTATCCTCACCACCTAACCAGGCAAAAGTTAGGTATTTAATATATATTTGTTAAACTGAACTAAATTACTTATAAGGTTACTCGATAAACTTACAAATCTAATTATGGAATGTACACGATCAATTCTTTCATTTGCAATCCACAGAGATCAGTAAAAAACAATTCCAATCGTAAAAGATTGAGGACACATTATCAATTAGGCATCAAAACAGTGACTAACCCCTAAATGCATGCATGGTAAAAGAGAATATGTCTAAGTATGGAAACAGTTAAGATTTCAGGAAGATACGAAAGACTGATACTGTTAGGCATATAAAAATCCTGGTAATAAAACAGATTCTTTCTTGACTCAAACTCTATATATTCCATAGTAATTCCAACTGTAGTTACTAGACCTATCTATTATGTTTCTTTGTCTTTGTATATACTTTGTGCTTTAGCTACAATACTCAAACTCAACTCACTATCAAGTCAGAACCCACTCACAGTTGATCCTCCAGTGCGTTTCCAAGGCTAGAAATAACACAGTAATAGACTACCCATCTTTATCCTGTGGCATCACTGGTGAATTCAAACTACCAGAGAGGCAGGACCTGTCAATATTTTGATGAACTTCTATTCACCTCTGAAGAGCTAGAAAAGTATAATCTCCTTTGCATGTCTCTTTTGAGCTTTTCTAACAAAATATACTACTTTTTGCATTTTAGCTTACTTTTAAGAATTGTAATATATGGTCTCTCACACAAAATGAAAAATCTGAGATAAAGAAATTTATATGCTCAAAGAACAGTATCTCGCAGAATGCAAATTCTCAGTGTTTCCTGAACTAAGCTAGGTTTATATATATGAAAAACATTTTAAAGAATGAAATAATCTATGGCTGACAGATGTGGCATAAGAAACAGAGTAAGAAACAATTAATGAATATTTTTTTAAAGTGAACTATGGGAAGATAAAGGGAGGGAAAAGAGGTGAATGCTTTGAAACAATGAATGAATGAAAGTCCAAGTTTTCTGTAAACTTTTGTTAAAATCACAATTAAAATTTTAAAATGTATTTTTAAAAAATATTTACATCTTTGGATATCCAATACAGGCAATATAACACAACGAGTAAGAATCAACTTCACTACAGTGAGTTTGTTTTTTGGTTTGATATATTCTAGCAAATTCCATGTAACCATCATGAAATTGAATAAAAATAGTTTTGTGTAGAAAAAGAAAGAAATAGAATAATAAGTATTAAGGACAATCCCAGGTGGGATCATTGTAGCCATTAGCCTGGACATGTTCACCAGTTTGCGTCAGGAAATGAGACCAAAAGAAAAGAAGAGATCCATATTTGTTCCCATTCCCAAGAAAGGTGATCCAGAAGAATGTGGAAATTATAGAGCAATACCATTAATATAACATGCAAGCAAAATATTGTTGAAGATATCCAAAACCAGACCAGCATACTGATTAAACTATCAGAAGTTTAAGCTGGGTTTACAGGAGGCCATGACACCAGTGCCATATTATTGCTGATGTCAGATGGATCTTGGCTGAAAGCTGAGAATACTAGAAGAATGTCTATTTGTGTTTTATTGACTATGCAAAGGCATTTGAGTGAATCATAACAAACTATGGCTAACATTAAGAAGAATGGGAATTCCATGCACATCCAATAACTTCTCCAACAGGGTAAAAAAGGGAAGCCACGGACTAGAAAAAAAATATTTGGTAATGACGTATCAGATAAGCAACTCAGATCCAGAATTTATGAAATACTTGAGCACCACAACAAGATAAATAATCCAACTGAAAAACGGGCACAGGATATGAACAGACACTTCACCAAGGAAGATATTCAGATGGCCAACAAGCACATGAAGAAATGTTCAAAATCCCTAGCGCTAAGAGAGATGCAAATCAAAACAACTATGAGCTATCATCTCACCCCAGTCAGAATAGCAAAATTTAACAGAACAGCAAGCAACAAATGCTGGCGAGGTTGTGGTAAACTGGAACTCTTATTCACTGTTAGTGGGAGTGTAAAATGGTGCAACCACTGCAGAAAGTGGTGTGCGCTTTCTCAAAAAGTTGCAAATAGAGATACCATTTGACCCAGCAATTCCACTACTGAGGATATACCCCAAAGAGACCATAACTGACACCCAAGCAGATATATGCACACCCATGTTTATTGCAGCTTTGTTCACAATAGCAAGGAGCTGGAAACAACCTAAGTGCCAATCAACAAACAAAAGGATAGAGAAGCTCTGGTATATTCACACAATGGAATACTATGCAGAATTGAAAAACAAGGAACTCATGCAATATTATTCAAAATGGGTGACCCTGGAGGACATTATGCTAAGTGAAATATCTCAGTCAGAAAAGCACAAATACTGCATAGTGCCACTGCTGTAAAACAGGACTGACCTCAGGGTTGGGGGGAGACTGAGAAAGATGGGTTTAATAATGTATACTGCATTGATACAGAGGAGAGAGAAAGCAGTTTAAAAGGGATATGTTATTAGGTATTTTTGTCACGACAGGAGTCCAAAGCAAAGGCTGCATAGCGGAGTGGACCTGGTGGAAGGGATTGCAAAACAATGAAAGAATTTTTCTTTTACTTTTCCAAGAGGGTAGTGTACTGCAGGGGAGGGCTGGGAAGGGAGAAAAGTGCAACAATGTATGAATGGAAATCCAAAGTCTCTCTCTACATTTTCACTGAAATAATAAATTAAAAAAAAAAAAAGAATAGAAAGAACCACAAAAAAAAAAAATAGAAGAAGAAGAAGAAGAATGGGAATTCCAGAACATCTAATTATCCTTACACACAATTTGTACCTAGACCCAATAAGACATATCTGAATAGAGCAAGGGATCATTGCATGGTTTAAAATCAGGAAAGTTGTGTGACAGGGTTGTATACTCTTTCCATGTCTATTCAATACATATGCTGTGAAAATCATGAGAGAAGATGTACTTAATGAACAAAAATGTGGCATCAGGATTAGAGGAAGTTTCATGAACAACCTGCCTTATACAGATGACATAACCTTGCCTGTCTTGAATATGAATTACACCTCAAAATCAGAAAAACAAAAATCTTAACCATTGGAACAATAGGCAACATCATGATAGATGGAGAAAATACTAAAATTATCAATGCTTTAATCTTATTTGGATGCACAGTCAACACTCTTGATACCAGTATTCAGGATATCAGGAAACATACAGCATTGGGAAGTCTGCTCTCAGGGATCTCTCCAAAGACCTGAATGAAGAGCAATGATGCCAGTTTAAAGACTAAGATGCATCTGATTTAAGCCACCATCTTTCCATCTAAAATAATGAATACAGATGGCAGGATAAAAATAGATGCATCTGAGTCGTGATATTAGAAAAGACTGCTAAAGAGTGCCTAAAGAACAAAGAAAGATGTCCTGGAAAAAGTGCAACTAGAAAGTTCCTTGGAGGCAAAGTTGGTGAAGTTTGTCTCACATGTACTGTACATGTTGCTGGGAGAGGCTATTACTTGGAAAGGAATATGATGCTTGAAAAAGTAGAGAGAATCAGTGAAGGAGAGGAAAACTATCAACAAGATAGATTGATGCTGTGGCTGTGGTAATAGACTCAAATGTGTTGAGGATAATAAGGAAGGTGTAGTACAGGAAAAGAGTTCAGATCATAGGGTTGCTATGAGTCATACTCAACTCAATGGCACTTAACAACAACAACTAAGGTAACATTCCTAGAGTAAATAAATTGTAGATACATATGAAAGAGCTTTATTTCTGCTAAAAAATAAAAAAGCCAAAAATCAATCCTTTGTTCTACCTTGATTCATATATAAATGCATCAACACTTAAACTTTCAAATTTAATTCTCTTTTCATTTGTGAATGACCAAAAAAAGAACACACTCTCTCTTCAAGAGTCTATATTTCTTACTATAATAACAGGATCGATTTCCTATCCCAAAGAAAGGTGACCCAACAGAATGTGGAAACTACAGAACAATCTCACTGATTTCACATGCAAGCAAGATTTTATTGAAGATTATC